CAGGGGTGTCCAATCCTGCTCTTAGAGACCACTTTCCTGCAGAGTTTAGCTCCAACACACCTGCCTGGCAGTCTCTAGTTATCCTGAAGATCTTGTTTAGCTGGTTTATGTGTGTTTAATTAGGGATAGAACTAAACTTTGCTGTAAGAATAAAATGGCAAAATTTGCAATGAACGAAGGACCTCCGAGTCATATCGACCAGAATGATGAGCTCTTTTGATTTAGGCCAGTGATCAACCACCTAGCAAACACCCAGAAAACCTCAGCCGCAGCATAGCAACACCCTGGCAACGTCTCAGGTTACGTATGTAACCCTGGTTCCCTGATGGGGAACGAGACGCTGCGTTTGAGACGCGGTGAGAACGCTCTGCGTGATTGCGTCATGAAGCACGTGTAAAATCATACCAATGGAAGCCCGATACGTCATAGGTGACGTCATAGACCAGGAAACTATAAAGCACCCCTGAAAACAGACCGCAACAGCTTCTGAAAAGTCTGAAGCAAGTCGATCAGGGCATGCAGGAAGTATGGCAGACGAACGCAGCGTCTCGTTCCCTATCAGGGAACCAGGGTTACATACGTAACCTGAGACGTTCCCTTTCAAGGGAACTCGAGCTGCGTTTGAGACGCGGTGGGAACCCCATACCCACTATGCCATAGTGACAAATGCCCGTTCTGTGTGAAGTCCTGCGCACACTAAGAAGCAAGCAACCTCGCCCCTGGAGTGGAGAGGTCAAGGTCATAAAACCTGACAAATGTATGCGGAGAGGACCATCCTGCCGCATTACAAATATCAGGAAGGGAAACACCCGAAATTAAGGCCGTAGAGGCCGCCATACTCCTTGTAGAATGGGCCCGTACAGCCATAGGTGAAGGCTGACCGGCCGCTTCATAAGCCAATGATATAGCCTCGACTATCCATTTGCTCATCACCTGTTTAGATGCAGGGCACCCTCTCCTGAGTCACCCAAAGCAGACAAATAATTGTTCAGACTTACGCCACAGGGCAGCCCTTTGAACGTAGGCATCTAATGCCCGAACTGGACATAACAGGTTCAGTTGTTCCTGATCTGGGGTATTAAAAGGTGGAGGATAAAAGGCCTGCAGCACTATTGGGCCCCCAACATTAACTGGGACCTTAGGAACATAACCCGGTCTAGGGTAGAGAAATGCCTTCACCATACCAGGTGCAAATTCCAAACATGGAGCAACCGACAGGGCATGCTAATCTCCAAATCTCTTGATAGACGAAATAGCAAGGAGAAATAAAGTTTAGAGTGAGGAATTCCTCTGAAACCTCTTCAATGGGCTCGAAAGGAGCCAAAGCCAGACCCTCAAGTAGAATGGCCAAATCCCAAGCCGGTGCTCTAGAGTGCAGTGCAGGTCTCAACCTCAGTGTACCACGGAGAAAACGAGTAATAAGAGGATCTCTCCCGATAGAAGTAACCCCCCCCCCCCCAGTTAACAGGATCTAACTGACGTTCACCACACCAGGTGGAGAATAATTTCCATTTCAATGCATATAGTTTTCTTGTGGAAGGAGCTCTGGATTGGAGAATGGTCTCAACGACCTCAGTCGAGAGACCGGATTTTATGAGCCGGGCCCCCTCAGAGGCCGAGCCCACAGTATCCAAACTCCAAATGAGGGTGAACTCTCAGGAGCAAAGATATCGGGAAATGCATACCGGTGTAGCGTCTACCACACCTAATACATCACATCCAGTCCAAGCGGAGCTGGATGTGTGAGGGAGAACCAAATAGAGCAAAGCGTTGTGCAAATGATGTGAAAGGTCGATTTGACTTTAGTTGACCAAAGTTCTCCCTAAGAAGCTCCACCACCTCGGGGTGAAGACTCCAATCCCTGGGCCTCAGCCCCTGCCTCAACAGGATATCTGCTCTGATATACGAGACCATCAGTGTGTTGTCCGCCATTCGCCGAGCGACCACTCATGATCGATTTCTCAAAACCGTCCCTTGGTTGAACAGTCACTACGGTGCCCTGAAGCGGCGAACCGGCAGGGAACAACCAAACTGACGTTCTACGATCCTCTTTGGAGGATCGTATGGGGACGCTGACACCTCGGTGCCCTGAACGGCGAACCGGCAGGGAACAACCGAACTGGCAGCGCTGCGACCCTCCTCAGAGAGTCGCACCCCAGAGGTCGCCGAGGAGAAACGATTTCTCAAAACCGTCCCTGCCCTGGAGGAGCCCTCAGAAGCCTGATAGCCTCGTTTTTTGCGACAGGACTTCTTGTCTAAGCTTTATTAGAGATGATGACAGTCCTCAGATCTTGCCTACCTCTAACTAGCTTAGTTCCTACGACCCTCCTCGGAGGATCGTTGAAAAAAGCAGGCACTTCGGCGCCCTGAAACGGTGAACCGGCAGGGAAACCGAACTGACTGCTCTTCTTTTTTCTTATTTGAAGGCGCGTTTGGGGACACTGACACCTTGGTGCCCTGAAACGGTTGAACCGGCAGGGAGACCGAACTGGCAGTGCTGCGACCCTCCTCAGAGAGTCGCACCCCAAAGGGCGCTGAGGAGAAACGATTTCTCAAAACCGTCCCTACCCCAGAGAGGACCACCCTTAGAAGCCTGATCGCCTCGGCGTCAGGGCTGCTTCTTTGTCCAAGCTATTTTAGAGATAAAACAGTCCTCAGATCTTGCATGTCTCTAACTGGCTAGACTGCGACCGCCACCCAGGTACCCCTCAATTGCGGAGGAGCCCGAATGGCGACGCTCTGTTTTGCACTTTGTGCTGAGAGGAGCTTAATAGGCCAAGACTGCTCCCGCCCAGCAGTCTCAGGAACATTAGATTGGTGAGGAAGAAACCTCTGGAACGCCGCTGAATGGTTTATTTCTTAGTTTTCTTGAAAGCGGAGCGTCCAGAAGAACAGACATAATTATATCTTTATTTTCCTTTATCTTTATATCAGAAAAACTTATATATATATACATATATATCACTCTGCGGCCACCAGCAGGAAACAACCGAACTGGCAGCGCTGCGACCCTCCTCAGAGAGTCGCCCCTCACATTCATCCATGTCCTTATATACTTTACCCACCAGCGCTGCCTAATAAAAATGTATTCATTATTTAAGATGGCTGGTGGGTAACGTCGGGGTTAATAACGATGACGCCGACTCGGGAGAGAGAAAGCTCGCAAGCGTCTCTTTAACCCGAGGCACTGTCATACTATGATACTTAATACCCAAACATTACTATAGTTAGACATCTGGGGATTAAACACATAAATACAAACCAGTTTATTCCACGATCTCGACACCTCAGTGTGGAGATAGGGAAAAAAACCCGCAATCCCCGACGAGGAGGCTGAGATACAGAGTTTTCCTGTTTTAAGATACAGTTCATCTAACAAACTCTTCTTTATTTTCAATCTCATAATGTTCAGCTGGCCAGTAAATATTTAACTGGCAACAGCACTAGATAAAACCTCCTTTTTTTTAAAAAGCTCCTCTTTATTCAGCAGAGTTATGAGCTGACTTATTTATTCATTGAAAACTCAAACATCTGCCTTTTTCTCAAGATTTTTATTTGTTTTGTTCTCTTTCTTTTTAAACAAAACACCAACGATACCAATTCCTCGGAACTGGAAATCGCAGCACACTAGATCTGGCATGTGAAAGCTGAGATAGGGCGGAGCCCGTCCCAACCCCCGCTGTCAGATCCGTTTGCGAACCCCGAAATACGAGCCGTCTCCGTGCCTCGGCAACAGAGAGACCCGCGCGGGGAACGCGAACCGAACCGTCCTCCTCGAAGAACGCCCGGCGGGAGCGGAGCGTCCTCACGGACAGCTTCTCGCAATGCTCACAGTCAGCTCCCTCGAGAACTGACTGTTGGCATGCTCCACTCCCAAACAGCAACAACAAGCTGATGTGTGTCCCCACCCGTGATGTAACGAGGGCAGGGAACAACACAACGTCTATAATCTTGCTTGCTCGCCATAATGATAGATAGTGATATATATTGGGCTTGACAAACAACAATAAATAGACAAGGACAGAATCACAGAGAGCGCTTGCTGAAGACAACAGAAGCTGTCGCGGTCTGTTTTCAGGGGTGCTTTATAGTTTCCTGGTCTATGACGTCACCTATGACGTATCGGGCTTCCATTGGACTGATTTTACACGTGCTTCATGACGCAATCACGCAGAGCGTTCCCACCGCGTCTCAAACGCAGCTCGAGTTCCCTTGAAAGGGAACTACCCAGCATACTCTAGCATAGTGCTTTTTGCACAGGCAAAACGACTAATGTTTTTTTCAGAACATGCATAACTCTGCAACTGGGTTTCTGTCAAAAGTTTTTGCATTGTGCCAAATAAAATGTAATAATTTCTTTCACTAGGTCATAGTTTCTGAGGAAGACAGGCAGTTTTTGTTGAGTTACAGTACCTCAAAATAATAATGCCTTTGAAGGAACATAACATCTGGCCCTTTGGTAAATTGGCTCACTGCACCCTCAGATCTTTCAACCTTTGATCAGATCTTCCTACTTTTCTCAAACATTGTTTTTTGAAAATGGATTCACAAATTCTTATATCAAAAAAACCCTTGAGATGTAAATTTAACCAAAACATTTTAGTCCAAAACAAGTTTTCCATCCTCAATAACAGGCAAAAGCCAACAGCTTTTGCAAAAGTCTGAGGAATACGTTGAGTCAGACATGATAAAGGGTGTTAGATTTTGTTAAGTAGGACATGTTACTACTCTATATGGATTTTTGTTAATCCTGGAGTAACTTTACTGTCAAACAGAAATAGCCCTAGCTGTCCTAAGACTAACTAAGCCCATACATACATATATGTATTTTTTCATGCAGGGTTATTTTACTCATCTTATCTTGCCTGCACAGGTGTCACAAGTGATACATCAACTTCTGTGTTAACCACTATAAGTCAAATGGGAAAACAGTGAGTGGGCCGTCTATAACTGCAAAACAACATTTGGCTCAAGACTCAATATGTGCTCTTTCTCCTCAGGAGATCGTTCGGGAAGATGTTTCCTCGCTCAGGGAAATCCATCGTCTTTGACAGCTTTCCAGATCCATCTGATACCTGGGAGATCATTGAGACTATTGGTAAAGGGACTTATGGGAAAGTTTATAAAGTGCTTAACAGAGTCAATGGCAGCAAAGCCGCCGTCAAAATATTGGATCCTATCCATGTGAGTAAAACCCTACTAGACCAAACCTGTATGTGGTGTGTGTTTTAGGTCATAAAGAGAGAAAGAGTCATATCATAAAGTCACCATTTTTAAACACAGGGAAAACTCATGGTCAGATTTGCACAGAAGGGCAGGGTCATTAAGGGCAGGGTAATTTTGGACCCTTCAGGTTCAATCAGTTCACATTTGGCTGCATCTGTATGCAGTCATTTGCACATTTGTTTGTACCTGTGAGTGTGTTTATGCCTTAAGAGAGGCCTGCAGGCAATTCCACTCGCCACTGTCATATAAGAACAGAACATCTATATCCTGCAGATAATGCCAAAAGGCTCTCTGTGTCTCTGTCCTGCTCGTTATTTCTCCAGCCAGACACTCTTTCCTTTAGTGATTGGGCAAATAAAAGGACCTCTAACAGCATATACCCAGACTAATCATGATGAGATGGCTTTTCAGAAGATGTGCAATTTGTGTTAATTTACCTTTCTCCAATTCACCCTTTCAAAGTCCTGAAAGGAAGCTTGGAAGTTTTTCAATGGACCTTTGGCTGCCAGTATATTTAAAATCACTCATCTAGATCAAATAAATCTTGGCTTAATTTAATAGACTGCAGCTGCCATAGCCATTGTACCTCAGATATTCACAAATATTTGTTTGCACTGCTTTCCAACCGCAGGAAATGCTGTAATCATGTGTAGTAATAGATATATGGAGCATTTTTGAAGCCAAAAGGCATCACAGAATAGACCTGTGTACCATATCCATTAAAATTCTACACTCAGAAGTTGTTTTTCCTCAGGCTCAATCAGTAAACAGTAATTTTCCGATGTTGGTCCAAAAACCTTGAAGGACGTGGAAGCCAACAAATATTATTTCAGTCTATGCCTCATGTGTAGTTCACTGCTGTGGGGCTTTGTTAATGCTGACATTTTATGGCCTTTCTGGCTTCGCTAAATTCAATAGATAAAATGACTACAAAAATATATTTTTTTGCATCAGTGCCTCCATTTGTGTTATTTGTGTTGAATAGTTAAAGAAAAGTCTTTGTTCGCTCAAAAATGAAAATAGACGTTTGAGCCATTGCTCTGTGTTTATTTTTATTTTGATCTTAAAGGAAAAGTTAAACCAAAAATGAAAATTCTGTCAATGGAATTCTGTTATTATTTACTCACTGTCATGCTATACCAAAAGATTATCCCTTTTTTCCTTACAATAAATTTGAATTTTACATTTAGAAATATACAACCCGTTTAAGAAACATTTACAATGGCTCACCCTTACTTTATTTCAGGATATTGATGAGGAAATTGAAGCTGAATATAACATCCTAAAAGCTCTCTCAGACCATCCCAATGTCGTCAAGTTCTTTGGAATGTTCTACAGGAAGGATGTCAAGAACGGGGACCAGCTTTGGCTAGTGCTTGAGGTAAAGTTCAATTCTATGTCATGCATGTGCGTCTCATTTATTTTAGCTTGTTGTATATCACACACGTTTTAAATTGGGCTTGTGACATTATCGGAAACACATTTTTAAATGCCCTAATCAATTATGGTTATTGTATTTTCAGCAGGAACACATGCAAATGCTAATGTTTTTGTAAATCATAGCAAAGTTGTGTACTGCATGCTATATCATTATCACATGATGGATTTATTGCTGCCGTTGCAGTGTGGGCTAATGGGATACATATAGCAGTGAAAATCTGTTTATAGAGGATTAGCAAAATATGCTGCTAATAAAATGTTATTAGTATCAACACCTCTGTATTTTTAGGAGCATACAGAACATACAGAACATTTCTCAAAGCTGTGAAATGGAAGTTTTTAGAGGACAATTAAGATATTGTCATTTTTAAAATCACATTAGGCCCACATGGCCTTTTGTGTTGTTTGACTGCTTGAGAACAGACAAGTTGGAAGGAAATGGGATGATTGTTACATAAGAGACTTAAGTCTCAGTAGGTCTGGACAGAGTTTTTGTGGCAGGACAGGTATGGGAGGGTGGAGATGACTACTAATGTGGGCCGGCTGTGTCCTGCTAAGATGAGCAGGTTCAGATACCAATTCTGCATTTAGACACACTGGCTTTAGCTGGAAACAGATGGTCATGGGTCCCACTGTACTAACAAGTGAGGTCCCTTTATATTGCACTGTACTGTAACTATTGTTGAGTACTGCTCATTAGTTATGCCTTTCGGCAGTAATTATTCAGACAAATATGTTCAAACAGCCTATGTACGTTGTATTGAATTTGCAAAAGTTACAAGTGTGTTATTACAGCTGAATCATACAGTAATTTGAATGTGCAGAAACAGAATATTATGTACACCATATTTAATGTGTATTATTTGTATTTTCAAGTTAAATAGAAGTATAATCAGTTTTACATTTTTAATAGCCACACAACAGCTTGTATGGTTATGCACAAAAACAGTTATCTCATTTTTAAAGTTTCATTTTAGCTTACCAAATTGCAGAAGTGCCATAATGCTTAATACAACATATCAATATTCTTAAATTGTGAACTGCTTTATTTTTCAAAAATTATTTAGGCATGTTTTAAAAATTGAAGCCTATTGTTGGATTTTCATGAAAGCACTATGGAACAGTTATGGTAATACCATGTTAGTCAATGGGCTCTATGCACGGTGGTATTTCCGGTGAAGGTCTAAGGATGCTGGATTACTTCCGCCGATCGTAGAGTCCAATGCTATACCGAGAATTTATATTGGTTTTTATACTCTATTGCTATACTAAAGAAACGTTAGTCACAAAAACAGACACCCCTCATTTTGTTTATGCTTCTTTGTTTATTATGTTAAATAAACATAACTATATATAAAATTACATCTAAACGTATTAAAGTTTCGTTTCAAAGACGAGAGGACAGTAAATTTTGAAGACTCTGCCATAATCCCGTTTTCCTCGGTTTTCCTCCGCTTTAAATCTCCCCAACCGGAAACGCAAGAGCATCCTTGCGTCAAACGCGGAAGTTATGCGTGCATATAGCCCATTGGTATATACAGTACTATGATATTTACAAGGTACATCCAAACATAGGTAGTGTTGGGAGTATACTTGTTTGGGTTTGGTGGTGTCACATGTATGTTGGTTTCATTGTTTTGGTTTGGTTTAGTTCTAGTTCCTGTTTCCTTTGTTCTCATTTTCTTGCCACTAGTTAATTTGGTTTCTAATTTACACCTGTTCCCTGTTCTTAGGTTCCCTTGAGTATTTAAGCTCTTGGTTAGTGTTAACGTTTTGTTATAGTGTGTAGTGCTTTGTTTCCCTCTGTGTTTATTAAAAGTCAGTTTAGTGCTCACTTGGATTGCTGCAGCATAACTGTGACAGGTGTGGGTTTGACCCCCTTTATATTAAAGCTTAAAGGAAGTCGGAAGAAATAGTTTGGACCCCAAAACTTAAATCAGCTTCAACTGTACACATGGTTTTACAGCATTTTGAATAGGCTTAGTACCACATTTTCTAATGAATAATGACTTCAAAAGAAAAGTTTTTTTTACAAATTTTCTTAATGTTATAGAACTTTCTATGTAAATTATCTTTATAAGTTTATCCTCTTGAAAGTCTCTCTATAATTCACACACTTGGTATCACTAAACATGGTCATTTCATAATAATCATCTTTTTGGTACTTATCGACCAATACAGTAGCTATATGGCCAATATTTGATCATTTTCAAATTTCAACATTAGACAAAAACAGTTAAGTGAAGTTATTCCAAACTATTCCGGGATTTTTTTTCACATACCTTTAAGTGAATTTTGAGTAATTATTGTCTTATTTGCTATCATTAAATGACCTAAACCAGCATTATATCTGCCACTCTGTCTAGATATCAGTATATTACTATACCAAACACATCAACCACTAATTTGTTGTAACTAGCAATTCATTTGCAGTTCGTTTTCAAAATTGTGATTTAAATGTACAGGTTTAGAAGGAATTTTCTCGGTGAGAAATGTTGCCCTTCTGTCCCTGATTTGTGCTTTCTATCTGAGACATTTATAAATGCTCTAGTTCCATGAAGCCATTAACCTGTGCTGAGCAGGACATTTCCAACACGCTGTTCCCCTTGAACATCTTCTCCACTTATCTATGTTTTCTGATGATCACAGTGCAAATAGACCTTTCTGAGACCTTTTGTTGACTATAGAGAGCTTCAGAAATCACACGATCAAATGCCAGTTAGTTTTATATTATCTTTTTTTAAGCATCAATAGTTACCTTGGGGAAACAGATCATAAGCAGGCTTTTTTTCCTGCGTTTGCACAGCTGAATTCACTCTGTGTTTAATATATTAGACCTGCCTGGAGAGATGTTAATTTGGTGTCAAACTTTACCTCAGTCTCAGTGTGGGTATGAGGAGGGTTATGCCCTGTCCAAATACCCACACTCGCAGTCTTTGCACTTGAACACTTGTCTACTTGCATGACGTATTTCCATGGCCAAAGTGTTCAAGTAGACGTGAAGACTGCAACTCTGTATAGAACTTTTGATTACCCGATGGCACACACTTATAGTCTTGCAAAAAAAATGCAAGTGTTTACAGAGGTTTTGTTTATTTGTATTTTTTTTATACTTTTAAACTTCTAAATGTGTTCAGTAGTCGCTATGTAACTAACAGAAGACACAGTTTTAAAATTGTGGTGCTTCTAATTAAGTGATAAAAAGCAGTTGTAAATGTTGTACAAAATACACATACTCGTATCTTTGCACCAATAAAATGTGCAACACTTTGTTTTACTACCAAATTATATGTAATATGTAAATATCTAATTAATTTCATTTGTGGAATGTTTTCCTTGAGATCTCGCGATTTCGGGGCTCGTGAGTTCCCGAACATAATGCATGATTGCGATTACCGCTCCGAAGTGGTATTCGAGATTGTGTGGGTTTAGTGTGCAATAAGGGCACATGGAACAGCCTTGCTCACTTTCCTATCACGGCCAATACCTCAAGTGTGGGTATTTGGACAGGGCATTAGCTAGTTAACAATCCCACATAGTTATGTAACCTTCTGAGCCAGTTTTTGTGTAGAAATAAAAATGTGGATATGCTTCTACATACCGTAGTATAAAGTACACCCCCCAAAAAATAAAATAAAAACCATCAACATTTAGTTGTAAATTAATAACATAATTTGAAATGCTAAAACAATAAATGTACTGTTTAGAATAACGAAAAAGGCTCAGAAAGCACAGAGAAAGCTCTAGTATTACATGGTTTGACATTTAGAAATTCTTAAATGTGTCTTACTGTTTGAGGCCACTGTACAAAAAAAATATATATCATGCTTATAAAGTCCTTAGATATTTCTGCATAGCCTTATCAAAAATATATTTTTGATGGAAATGTAAAGGCATGGCACGTTTCACTTTCCCTGAAGAAACCACATTCTGTTTTATCAATATGGACGTAACACAGTTACCACAAATTACAAAAGCGGTTTTCTTCTCTTGCAAGTCTTTAAGCAAGTTCCTCCATCTGTATTAGAGGGAATGATTTTTCCCCTCTTTTTCCCTAAAGAGCTTTGCATTTCTGTATGCAAACTCCTGCATGCAAAATCCACAGTCAGCAATCCAAATGTGGAAGTTAATCCCCTGGCTGAAATCATAGTCTAGTATTGAAGCGTTCAGCAGCAGCCGAGATGTTAAATTGCCATGGTTACAGTCGTCCCCTCTGAACTGTAATTTTCTGTATTTCAGTATGATCTGGGAGGAAGGCTCCTCCACATTGAGTGACCCCTGATTACAGAGAGGACTTGCACAAATTGCGTCCTCCACTTTGCTGGCTTGCTCATCAGGCCTGGTGCTTGTTCTGCCTTTCCTTTGTGTTGTGGCTTCTAATTATGGATATAAAGGGGGTTGCTTTCATCTGTACTCATTGGTTTCTCATCGTATAAGGGGCCGACTCCGCTCCGTCATATTAAAACTTCAAAGATATCAGAAGTGATCTCTATTCAGTTTTGTTCAAGTTGGCTTGTAGGTTCCAGTTGGTGGGTAATGGCTGGGAAAGGACTAATGACAGCGGTTCATTGTTGTAGTTTCACATGAAACAGTATGTCTCTGTGCCATTGTTATTGAAGGTTTTCATTTATTTCTTTTAAAATGCAAGGCCTTTTTTTGTAGATATGCAGTTTGTAAAAGCTTTCTTGATGAAGTGCATTTATTGACTGGATTCGTAGAAACTGGAGAATAGCAATATAAAATGGTGCGTGCATCATTGCTTAAAAAAGTTATTTGCAAACACCCACAATATTATTCTATAGATTTATATTACCGGTATGCAGTATGGTGAACATGAGATATCAATGAGCAACATTTTTAGTAAAAGTTATCAGTTATCAATACATAGTTTTATTCAGCACTGACACACTGTATTGATCAGAAGTGACATACTTTTCCATT